TAGGCAGGTGCTCTATCACTGAGCTACATACCCAGCTCTGAAAACCAAGGAGGCTGATTCATTCTTAATCAATTCCATCAAATCTAAGTGTCATATGTTCTTTGCATTCACCCATTAATGCCAGAGCTTTTTAAAATACATATAACCACATTGCCAGTCCTTTAAACCAGTTCTTGTCCTGTGCTCTTCCTTTCTTACTCCTGATCAGTTCTCTTAAATTTAAGTGTCATGTGTTCTTTGTATGCATCAGTTAATGTCCTAAGTTTCTTCTTAATGTATAACTGCGAACCTTTCCCCCTTTTGCCTTTATTATCTAAAGCAACTTTAGAAAAATGAAAAAATGTCATAAATGAGTAGCCTGGATTTACATGTTAGTCCTGTGGTGTAAATGTGGGATTTGTGACTAATAATTTTATCCCAGGTTACAGCAGATTATATAGTAAAAAAAAAAAAAACAGATGGAAGATTTTGAATCCTGGATCCATCTTTGTTGGGGATTTTAACTGTGTGTTTTCTTTAGCTTTGACATAGGGGAGTTCTGAAAATTAAGTAAGCCTAATGTATATATTTGGCACTCAGAGAAGTTGTTCAATAAAGTTTTTTTTTGTACCGGGAATCGAACTCGGGTCCTTTCGCTTGCCCAGCAGGTGGCAAAACCACTGAGCTAAATCCCTGGCCCTTTTTTTATTTTTTTGAGACAAGTTCTCACTATTAATTCAGGGTGGTCTTGAACTCACTATGTACCCCAGGCTGGCCTTGAATTCACAGTGATCCTGCCTTCAGGCATGCTCCCCCACGCCCAGCAATAACTTTAATATTGTTGAATCTGTTAAAGTCTGATTTTTAAGTGAGAGTATCTCTACTTAAAAATATTTGTGTTCTCTCTACTCTCTGTTCCTTCAAAAGTAGATTTTAAAATTAAATTTCATCATCCGATTCTTGGAACTCCTGCTGATTGTTTATTGTACTTTTGGATTTTGATGTATGTTTTATTTGAGACTGTCTTACTTTATAAAAGACTAGACTAGCCTTGAATCTGCAATCCTCCTGCCTCAGCCTACTGGTTGCTTGGATTACAGATGTATGATACCATATGGTGGTTTTGGTTTATTTTGGTTCCCAAGTTTTATTCAAGAACTCATAAAAAATATTCCAGACAAATGAGTTTTAATCCTCATCTTCCTCCTCCTCTTCATCCTGGTTAATCTGGAAGTAATGTAATTCGTAACTCTCTTTGCTGTTAGCAACTACGCTCAACCAGTCACGTAGATTATTCTTCTTCAAATATTTTTTGGTGAGATATTTCAAATACCTTTTAGAAAAAGGCACCTCGGAAGTCACGGTGATCTTGCTCTTGCTCCTTTCGATGGTGACCACCCCTCTACCGAGATTCCCGGCTTTGCCGTTCACCTTGATTCTGTCTTGGAGAAACTGCTTGAAATTGGCAGCATCCATGATTCCATCTTCTGCAGGATGTGTGCGGTCAAGGGTGAACTTCAGGACCTGCTTCTTTTTTTTGACCCCCTTTGCCACAAGCTTTTTCACGGGTGCCATGGAGGCCGAGGAATCAGAAAGGGGGTTTTGGTTTATTTTTATACCTTGGTTTATGTGAGAGTCATATAATAAGTGCTTTGTGAATTTTAAGGGAAAATAGATTGTTCAGATGAAAAGCATATGGATCTGTTAGCTTTTGAGCAATTCTAGAGAATTCTTGCCAGAACTAGTATCTTTGTTTTGGTTCTCAGAAACTATTAAATGCAATCACTGAGTCACACTTGCTGTTTTCTTTGTCCCTTGGTTTTCTCTCTGAAAATCCTGAAGTTTGTCAGCCACAGGATACTTAAAAGACAGAGTAGGTCTCAGACCCAGGGGAGTTTGTTTATTTAAAGAAAAATAATTAAGTTCAAACATCTCTACCATGTGATAGCAAATTTAGTCATGTTAAGAATTAATAGTTCGTGGGCCGGTGATTTAGCTCAGTGGCACCATGCCTGCCTCCCAAGTGGTCCTGGTACCAAAAAAAAAAAAAAAAAGAGTTAGAAGTTCTTTTGATTCTCTCTGGTGGTCATAGTACCTAAAGGTAACAGATAAATTTGAAGTAGCTGAACCTTTCCTATTACTTGGAACTTTATAATGTATTCACAAATAGAAATCCATAAAGTAGGAGAAAAGGGAATGTTGTTTATATTGGTAGTTGTTTTTTTTTGTTGTTTTTTTGTTTGTTTTTGGTACCAAAATCAGGACCTTGCCCTTGCCAGGCATTGGCACTAGTTGTTGCTTTTTTTGTGTGTGTACCGGGGATCGAACTTGGGACTTTGGGCTTGTGAGGTAGGTACCGGAACCACTGAACTAAATCCCCGGCCCAGTTGTTGCTTTTTTTTTTTTTTTTTGGTACCAGGGATTGAACTCGGGTCCTTGTACTTGCATAGCAGGCAGCGAAACCACTGAGTTAAATCCCTGGCCCCAGTTGTTGTTTTTAATAAAACTTATTTACTGAAAATCTTTTACCAGTCTTTTCTAGAATTCTAGTACAAATAATTTATTTTTATTTTTATTTTTTGGTACTGAGGATCGAACTCGGGTCCTTGTGCTTGCATAGCAGGCGTCGAAACCACTAAGCTAAATCCCTCGCCCTAGTACAAATAATTTAAAGACAAAACAACCAATAAACAAAACAGCTACACCATCTTCATAGGATAGTTTCATTAATTCTTTAAAGTTGAGAGCATAGAATCATTTTATTTTATTTTTTGGTACCGGAAATCGAACTTGGGATCTTGCACTTGCAAGGCAGGCAGCGAAACCACTGAGCTAAATCCCTGCCCCATAGAATCTTTTAAAAGGAACAGTGTAGCTCTATAGATGTTTAGACAGAAAGATCTGAAAATTGATGGCGATGTGTTTGCTTACCCCATTAACTTTACAACTTATTTTTTCCTCGTATAGTCTCTGCCAGATAAGGAAAACTAAGGCAGATATTTTGGGCTTGCCTGTGGTACCAGGGGAGATCTCCAAATGAGATGACTTCTAAAGCCAAATCCTAAAGGAAGATGAGGAATAAGCCAAAGAGACGTCTAGTGTTCCAGGCAAAGGAAAACACAAGTTCGGAGGCCCTGAGAATGGGTTTGGTATTTAGAGAAAGGAAAGGAGCCAGTATAGCTGGAATGGAATGAATGGGAAAGAGAATGGTATGGTCGGAGAAGTAGGGAGGGGGTTATCAGATTATGTTTCTTATGGGCCATTGTAAAGGTTTTGGCTTTTAAATTAGTGAGATGGACTCCATTAGAGCATTTGTTCAAAAGAGTGACCTGATCTTTCTCTTTGCTTTTGTGTTTGTTTGTGGTACTGGGGATTGAATCCAGGGCCTTCACACTAAGCTATATACACAACCCTTTTAATTTTTTTTTTTAATTTTGAGACAGGGTCTCACTAAGGTGATAAATTGCCCAGGCAGGGTTTGAATTTATTATACCCCTGCCTCAGCCTTCCAGAGTGCTGGGATTACAGGTGTGCACCACCACGCCCAGTCTGACTTCTTTTGAAAATGATTAGTCTGACTGATTTGTTGAGGTGAACATGGCAGAGGCCAGGCGATTAAACAGGCAACTATTATAGTAATGCAAATGCAAAATAAGGTGGTATGGATCATAGTGATAAAGAGTGGAAATGGTTAAAAGTGTTGCTACCATGTATCTTTCAAAACTGGAGTTGTAAAATGAACAATAGTGATGAGTTTACTTGATCCTTTCTTTTGTTTTTTTTTTTTTTACTTAATCCATTTTTGTTTTTGTTTTTTGGTTTTTGGTTTTTTTTTGGTTATGAGGATCGAACTCGGGACCTTGTGCTTACGCGGCAGGTGCCGGAACACTGAGCTAAATTCCCAGCCCCACTTAATCCATTTTTAACGGTAAAATTAATCATTGAATTCAAGGTTTGGTTTGGTTTGGTCTGGTCTGGTTTTGCAGTATTGGAGATTGAACTCAGGGCCTACTGCCTGGTAGGCAAGCACTCTACCACTGAGCTACATCCTCTCTGCCCCTCACCTTGCTGCTTCCCCCTTCAGACAAGCTCCCCAAGTGTTACTAGACTGGCCTTGAATTGGGGTCCTCCTGCCTCCCAAACAGCTGGGATTATAGTTGTGCCACTACAGCACTGGCTCTCTGGGTTCAAATTTTGTTAGCCTGATCCATCTGTTGTTTCTCTTTTTCCAATGGTTTTAGCAACCACTGATTATTTTCTATATTCATTATTAGGGGTGACAAAATGGTGATTTTTGTAATCCCATCATTCCTTTCATTTTTATTATTTTGAATCCTATAAGGAAGACATCTCATTAACTGACTGCTTGATTACTTGGTGATATCTTTTATATGAAGTTTGCTGTCCTAGCAGTTTCTGTGAAAGAAGTGCCATCTTCAGGCTTGCTATTTTAAAATTCTGAAAGGTTAAATATTATGTCAACTAAGTTAATTCATCAGTTTATTCATTCTTTCCGTGAATATTTACTGAGCACTTCTGGTATGACAGTCATTATTTTAGGTTCTTAAAATATCAATAAGTAAAACTGACAAAACTTTCTGGGTTTTTATTCTAGGTAATGGGTAAATAGACAATAAATAAAGTAAGTAAACAGTTTATGATGTTCACATGTGTGATTTTAGGGCTCCCAATCTACACTTTTCCTTTTCCCCCTTTTTTTCTTGTTCCAGTGTGTAAATAATACTCAGGAATTGTGAGGCCCAGCTGGGTGAAAGGCATCAGTGGCCAGAGCATTTTGCTCCCATGGGACAATAGCCAATTTTCTAAACTTCCCACTTCACCCTCGGCCCTGTTTGTAATATTTTCTTGTTTTGTTTTGTTTTGTTTTTATTAAAAGATTGCTCAAGAATTATTTTTATGGTTGTCTGGTAACTACAAATTAGGTAATTGTCCTTAAAAATTGTAATTTTTTGGTTATATATACAAGAGTCTCATTTTTAATAACTGTACCTTTTTTTCAGAAATGGCCATTAAGAAGTAGATGTCCAGATGCAAAGGGTTTTGAAACAGTCCATTTGTCGTAAAGTAAGATGCAGCTGTGGCTTTTCAACCAGATTAGTAAGTGTAACCAAATCTTTTAACTATAATTTTATCTGTTGTTTTGGAGAACATATAATAAAAATACGGTGGATATTAGAAAAGTGTCACCTTATATTTTTTAGTTTGTAGTTCAAATTCTAGAGTACAGCAATAGAATGTATGTCTGTACTGTACCTTTTTAGGAATCTTGAAGATAGTAATAGTAAATCACAGATACAGAGAAAATACCACTATCCGAATATTGCTACTCTTACAATTTTGTAGGCTGGGCGTGGTGGCGCATGCCTGTAATCCCAGCACTTGGGAGGCTGAGGAAGGAGGATCATGGTGAATTCAAGGTCAGCCTGGACTACATAGCAAGACCCTATCTGGAAAAATTTTTTTTTAATATATATTTTTTCTTCAGTCCTTGTTCTACGTATTTTAAATTTTGATCATATTTTGTACAGTATGCTTCTTACATATCTTTTTAAAATTAAATTTGTTTCAGATGCTTCTTCCTGGAATTAGAAATATGCCCTTTATTATGGGATTTCTTATTGGGATGATAAAAATATTCTGGAATTAGATGGTGGTAATGGTTACAAAACTTTGTGCATACATTAAAAACTTATGTTGAAATGGGTGACTTTTATGATGTGTGAATTATATCTTTTAAAAAATCAGCCTTGCCGAGGATTTAGCTCAGTGGTTCTGCCACCTGCCTGGCAAGCTTAAGGACCTGAGTTTGATCCCCGGTACTAATAAATAAATAAATAGCCTTTAGAATATGATCTTGGACAGTAAAATTCACTTAAGTTACTGACATTTTAGAATATGAAGATGTGTCACACATTATTATATATCTAGCAAAAACGAATTGATGTTTAGTCCATAGAATAGTCTTTTAGTAATAAAAATAATGAATTTCATGAGTTTTTTTATTAAAATACTTTTATTAGAGATCTGATGTTTCTTAAGCTTTGGTAGTAGCAATTTTGAATATACTAAGTAAGCAGTTTATAACTTATTTTTAAGAGACTGTTTTGAAACTAACATCTCAACTTTTCTACCTGAAATTTTTTTTTAGGAACAAAATTATATCTTTTTCTCAGAAGAGAATTCCACAAGGTGAGAAATTGTTAATATAGTCATTAAACAAATGTAGTTGAATCCAGGCTTAGTAGCTCATGATTGTTTTATCCTGTTCCCCATATTTATGATGTATCTTTTTTGGATTATTATAAGATTCTCATAAATTTATTACTCTCTCTTTTACTACTTTTTGCTAGCAAGACAGAAGTCTCGTTTGAAGTTAGAATTAAGAGTTTGGTAAAAGTAGTCATCTCTGAAACTCTTGTATTGCTTATTCCTAGCTCCTTGAGAGTAGTTTTATCTCTTTTGGGAAAAAAAGTTCTTTTTCGTTGAAGTTCAGTAGATATTGCCTAAGTGATTTCAGGGAGTAGAGGACTCTTAAAGTTCTCTGGGGAAACTGTGTAAGTCCTATGCTTAGTTTGACAAGTAGATTGCTTTCTACCAGATAGATTACTATATAAAACATTATACTGTAGGCTGGGGATTTAGCTCAGTGGTTCTGCTGCCCGGCTCGCAACCATAAGGTCCCGAGTTCGATCCCCAATACCAAAAAAACCCCCCCAAAAACAAAAAAACACATTATACTATATAAACATTAAACTATAAAAAACATCTAATGTATATTTTTTAAAATTCCTGAATGATCACCTTTTAGTGGGTTTTGTTATCATTAATCAGTTAACATTCTTTAGACTTCTGATGTATGAAATGTTCAAGTGGATAGATATTAAAATCTTTTTATTGGTTTGTTTTCTTTGTGCTAAGAGCTTGAAATCAATTGTTCGGAAGCTAAAGCTGCCAAAGAAGTTACTTTGGTTACATTTTCTCAGGAACTATTTGGAGTAGGTTGTAGTGATCATTTGCTATGTTAATACAACTTGTCAGCCGAAAATGCTTTTAAAGCATTTCAGATCAGCAATTCTATTTCTTATTTATTCACCTTTTTCAGTATTACATGTTTTGAGGAGTACATGTACTCTTAAATACTCTTGCCTTTTTGAAACCACTGTAGTTTTAGTTAATCGAGTCAGTTTTTATCCTGGTATTGGAAACAAAGGGTTAAAATGAAGAGACCCACTAACTGAAGAGGAAAAGGGAAAAACAAATACAAAGATTGTTCCTTTCCACATTCCTTTTCCCTATTTTTTTCTTCTATTTTTAGGAGCTTGAGGAAGGAAGTCCTGGACCTTTGTGTGGTACTATCCAATCCCCTGCTCAAAGGCAGTGAAGTCAGGCAGTACTTTAGAAGAAACCCAGACTCTCCTTTTCTGGGACCACAGTACTGAAAGCAAAAACAGACACTTCAAAAGGTTTAATCTCCACAAATTTAGTCTATTACATCTTAATATGTCACATTTTGACACATGAAATTTAAATCTATATCTACATTAATACAATGCAAAATACATACAATAAAGATGGATCATAGAGTTTGATACTATTAGGGCTCAACTGTAAAGTGTTTGATACGTATTTATACAGTAGTGGGGATTGAACTCAGGACCCTCACACTGAGCAACATCACCAGCCCCTTATTTTTTATTTTGAGACAGGTTCTCACCAAGTTGTTTAATTGCCCTGGCTAGGCTCAAATTTGTGATCCTCTCAGCCTCCCAGTGTTGAGATTACAGTCAGGCATCACCATGCCCAGCTTGATGACCTTTAAATGTTTGGTGTGTATTCTTTTGTTAGTGTCTTATAAAGGGTTATATTATGTGTCTATGTTTTAATTTATATTAAAAAATGAGAGAAAGAGAAATATGTCACCCTACCATATCTAATATAATGTAAGAAACCCACAGATAATTAAGTATTGTTCTTTTTTTAATTTTTATGTTTTGGTACTGGGGATTGAACTTGGGACCTTGCACTTGCGAGGCAGGCAGCGGCACCACTGAGCTAAATCCCTGGCCCAGTATTGTTCTTTTTTTTAAAAAGTAGTATTCTTGACCATAACAAACCTTAGAATAAAATGATTTAAGACATATACCATATACAAAGGACATACACATTAGAACTTATTCTGATTTTTGATCTCTGTTCCACCTTTCTCCCCCTGCATTTCCCTCCAAGATCAGGCCACATTGCTGAGTGTTCATCTAGTTTACTTTGTCTAACTAATACACTGTACTCCATATTGATGTTTATGAAAAATGAATCCATTAAATGTAAAATTTCTTCAATATGTAAAGCACCTAAAATGGATATTTAGGAAAAGGCCATTTTGTGCTTCTTTCTTTCTTTTTTTTTTTTTTTTTTTTGGTACCAGGGATCGAACTCGGGTCCTTGCGCTTGCGCAGCAGGCGGCGAAACTACTGAGCTAAATCCCTGGCCCTATGTGCTTATTTCTTTATATTAGTCCAAGGACTTTTTTCTATCAGAGATTTTGAGCTTATTTTTTCTTTATATTAGAATTAAAGTTAAAAGAATATAATTTAGATGCTGTGGATGTTTAGAGGAAGAAATACAAACATCTGTTCAGGAGGCTTCCTATCTTGGTCTGTTAAGAGTTGTCAAAGAAAAGGATGGTAGAGCCTTATAAAAACATGTATTTTTCTTCTGGAAATTGTGTCAGAATGTATTATCTCACTAAAGCTTAATAGTTAAATTGGCTGATGCCAAGAGAAAAGGTAATGCCAATAATATGAAACCATGTCATTATCTGTCACAAATTAATTTCTGTAGTGTGTTATATTTAAACATTAATCTTCTCTTCTAATTCCACAAAGCAGAACTGTCTTCTGTGAAACCCCTTTGCTGAATGAAATATACAGTAAGAATTGAATAATAACCAGTACAAGTGCCAGGCTCTGTATGTGGGATGCAGAGACACTACAGTGGTACCTTGGTTCATGAATGCTTTTGTTTGCAAACAATTTGGTTCGCAAACAGAAGCATTTGGCAAAATTTTGTTTTTGTTTGCAAACTCAGACATGACCGTGGCCATCTTTTCCAAAATCCTAGAACAAATTAAGTTTGTGAACTATTTCATCTATAGTAGTGCAGTATCAGGAGGAGCAACTTCTCTTTAAGCTCCTAACTAGAAATTGACAGAGTGGGAACTTGTGATTTGTCTTGTTTTGTTTTGTGACAGGGTCTTACTATGTAGTTCAGGCTGGCCTTGAACTCGTGATGATCCTCCTGCCTCAGCCTCCTGAGTGCTGAGATTATAGGAATGCGCCACCATGCCTGGCAAGGTTGAGGTTTTTTGAAAGAAGTTATTTATATGTCAGCACTCGAGGATTTATAAGAATTTTGTGAGAAGAACAAAAACTCCTGAAGTTGATACTAAACAGTTTAGAGAATTAAAAAATTAAATATCAAGTAATGTAAAGACACTTTGTCCGATGTGTTTTTGAATCTTTTGTGTATAGCACAGTATTGTCACACTGATGTGTTAGCACACTGCATAAGCAAAACTGATAGTTTTCCCATCTTACAAATAGCAAACCAGGAGTAGAATTGATTTTTAGGTTTCATTTTTGTTTTTGTTTTTTTTTACTAATTTATACTGCCACTCTGTCAACTGATCCTTTGCTCTGTTGTACAGAAGATGTAATTGCTAGGTTAGTTTTGAGAGAAGTGTTTCTAACCAGGAAGAACCTCATGGCTTGAGAAATTTAAACACTTATACAGGCAAAAATATAAACAATAAATAATATAGGTGACAATCACTAAACCTTAAGGTTCATTAAAGCAGTATTTATTAAATTGATATAGATTTGGTCTAGTTCTGTTGCACAGAAAAGTCTTTTCATAAATACATCCAATTTAGGATGAATAACATAAGCTTGGATATATTTAGGGCAGAGCATATCAGTTAATTTTCTTTCATGTGTCTCATTTTGGCAGATGGGACATTAAAATCCTTATGTGGATATAGAATGAGTAATTAGACTTCATATTTCAGAATGTAGTTAATTTTATCCCCTTAAATTATTTGTTTATAGTGTGAAAATCAGGTACTGGATTTTAAACCTGTATCTTTTATCTTGAGAGGCTTAATTTGGTTCAGACTCAATTACAGGGAGAGGTCAAGATTGGTTTTGAGTAATTTAGTGTTGTGTTAGGTCATGCTAGATCTACAGGGTCTTCAAATAAATTACCCTGTTTGATTTGAGCCTGGGGATAGGTTGTGAGAAATTTCACATGTAGCTGATAAAATAAAGGAATGCTGATTGACTGATTGATAGTCCATTTAATACCTTGGAGTATGGGACTCTGGAGTGTGTTTTTTTTGTTGTTATTACTGGTGGTGTGGTAACGATGCTGGGATTGAACCCAGGGCCTTGTATGCTGCAGAAGCATTCTACCACTGAGCTACACCCCCAGTCCCTAGCAGCGTTTTTTATTTTCAAAGAAAAGATTATGATATTTAAAAGACACAGGTCTTCTGACTCTGATCTCTTACTATACATTACACTTTCAGTTATTATAGTTCAATTTAGCTGAATTTAAATTTTATCCATAAAAATGTGGATCGTTTTAATGTTTTGTAAATGAATACAGTTATTTTAGTTAGCTTTTTATTTTATATTCTACTCTTAGAGTTCCATATGTGCTGGTTTGATTTTATTTTTTCAACTACTTGATTTTGGATTAAAGAAAAACAAAAACCTCCAAAACTCAGAATAGGTTGAGACTTCACACAAATTGCTGCCACAGAACAAAAGTGCTGATCAAGTTAAATCAACCCCTGTAATGTGTATTGAAAGGAAAACCTCTCTTCTCTACCCCAATTTGAAGAACAAGCATTTTCCCTGCCAAGAAGGACTGACTTTAAATGGACCAGCTGTCCATATTAGGAACATAGGGTTGCTAAGGTGACCATGGCTGTTTGGGGAAGAATGCAGCTGAGAGGGCAAGTTCTTGATGTGTGAGCTGAGGGAAAGAATGTGGTGTGATTGCACATCATTCCTCCTAATCACATGCTCTCAAAGTGCTGTGTGGGCAGGGTGTAGAAACTACAAGTCTAAATGGAGCTTGTGTGTGCTTAAGGTCATTGTTTTACTGTGAAGCAGGGTTTACAAGGAAAC